TTAAGATAAGGATAAGTCTAAGTCGAAAAACTTATTTCTGTGGTCTGATTCTAAGTCGCTCTTCAAACTACTTGTTCTTGGTTGAAGAAGAGTCCAAAAGTGTGCGTGAATCTTGGTCAGCTATCTTGACGCGGTTTCAATACTGGGCGTTCATCTCTGCTTGTCGTCCAGAGCTCAAAACTTCTCGCCAGGGTCCGCTGCTGAACTCAAACTTCTTCTCTCCAGCTTGGGTCGAACGAACTTCTTCTCGCCCGCTCGGGGCGAACGAACTCTCGGCACTCGGGCCAAACGAACTGGCCTCTTCTGCCCGCTTGGGGCGAACGAACTTCTTCTCGCAGGGCCAAACGAACTGGCCTCTTCTGCCCGCTTGGTGCGAACGAACTGATTTCTGTCGGTTGTGTTCTCGCTTTTATTGACGCCGTCAAAACTGGGGTGGGTCTGTCGGCACCAGGGGTTCTTCGATAATTCTAAATACGTCTCCACCCTTCTTATTTCTGGTTAGGGATTTTTTTACTCTTTTCCATTTTCGGTAACTTTTCTCTCACTCCCACTCTCTTACTGTGCTTCTGAGGGGCGTGCACTAACTTCTCCACTTCTTCGTATCGGCTCCTCACACTTACACTTCTGATAGAGGCGTCGACCGATTTTCTTCATGCGTCACGTGACCACTCTCGGCCAATGAGGTCCTGGTCGGGTATCTTTCCTCTTCCTTCGTGCGTCATATGATCTACTTGGCCAATGACGTCTTAGTCGGGCGTGAACAATCCGCGGTTTTGTTTAGGGAAAGAAATACCTTGCTTAACAAAAAAAAAAAAAAAATTAATTAAATCGCCCTTATCATGAGCGACTGAGATGACACTCTCGGCTTTTTAACACGTGGTATTTGTCAAGCAGTTTATCGCTAATTGGACATGATCCAAAAAAGGAATTTCCTAGGCTAGCTGGCGTTTCTGAAGCGAAATAAAAATATTTCATTTTCCTTTCGGCCGAAGGTTTGATAACAAAAATCTTTATTATCGCAGGGCAAGCGTTTATTCTGTCAAAAGAAAGAAAAATTTTTCCAGTGAAAACTTCTTGGGTGGGATTTTTCTAATTCTGAAGACTGTCTATGTTTCGTCAATGTTCAACAATGGTCTTTCTTTACCTTGGGTGACATCCAATTGATAACAAAATTTATTTTTCGTGGACACGCGGAAATTGGTCAAATGCTTGTTCGTAGGTGACCTAGATATTTTCGACATCTGCTACCTATCAATTCTAGCCGTTTGTGTGTGTGTTCGCCTATGACCCGTTTTCGTATTATTTTTTCTTTCTTTTTTTTCATTTTCTTTTCTTTCTCCCAAATCGCTTGAATGTAAAGAAAGAATTATTCTTAAAACCTAAAATATTTTTCGGCCTTAAATAATTATTAAATGGTTGATAAACCGTAAAAAACAAATCATATATCTATGAATATTTCTTTCAAATCGTCAGGATGCATGGTGCCACATACCTAACAGGCTTATTTAAACTTTATCACGAAGCGTTCCTGGGAGAATTAGAAGTTCTACCAGGATTTATTACTGGCAAGCACAATCTTAACATAAAATATGAAAATCATAGCAGGCAAAGAATACATTTAGAATCAGAATAAAACTCTTGACAATTCTAGGACCTGTAGTGAGAAAAGAGGGCTTGGAAAATTCGACAGAACATATTAAAGGCAGGACGGACAGAGAAAAACACCGTGCAAATGAACAGAACAGGAACTGCAATCGATAGCAAATGTGGAGAGACATGATCTCCTTCGTTCTGAGGCTTCCATGGTTACAATCAATGTTTGGCACGCTTAGGGGTATCATAGAGGATATACTTTTCCTCACTAGCGGGCACTCGATCAAATATGAGTATGTCGCCGCGTCGAATAACATACAGTCATTCGTTGTTGCTTGCTGACAGTGTGTGGGGTACCCACAGGATTCAACTTATATGCATTGCCTATGTGATGTAGGTGAAGTATATCACTGCAAAAATCACCCCCTCCACAAATTAATAGACTATAGATGCATTCTGGATTTCTCGCTCTCATCACCCTTCTGTTCTTTCTTGATTGAATCCAGTACGCTGTGATCGCTTGTCTGTATCCTCAGTTTGCGTGTTAACACCATTCTAGTTTGTGAATTTTTTGCCTTATCAAAGTTGCTTTGCCTTATTACTTAATATTAATATTTAATAATAGTTTTACCCTGTTCTTCTTGTTCAAACTTTGTTAATTCTGTTTGCTGGCCATTTCTGACAAGTACATTTAACCATGACCAATTACTGTACAAGTCGAAACATATTTTTCGATTGTAAGAATGTCATGGAGATAATGGTTTTCTGATACAGCCTGACAAAGTCAAAATGACAGCCGATGTCCAAAATGACCTCAAGTCCGTAGTTGACTGGGTCTAAAGATGGCTTGTTCATTTTAAGGCCTCCAAAAATAAACTTCTTTCCATTAATCCTCTAAGAGACCTCCTCCTCTCTGCCTTCCATCAGTATAGCTGATGCTAACCACCTGGAAAGTGACCCTATGCGCCTTCTCGGATTCACCTTCTGTGCTGGTATGAAGTGGAACCACTATATTGAATCCATTGCTAGATCAATTTGCTAAGAAAGACAGCTCACTATGTCGGATGAGACAGTTTTTTCTCTCCAGAATCTATCTTGCATATCTATAAGTCTACCATTCGTCCATGCTTAGAATGTTGCTGCCACATATGGCCCGGTGCCCCTTGAGCTCCTTGATAAGATCTAAATGAGAATCGGCAATATTATAGGTCCTGATCTGGCGGCTCGACTTCAATCACTTGACTATCGCCTTAAGCTCCCCTCGCTATGTCTCTTCTATAAATACTTTCATGCTAATCGTTTGGATAAGCTCATGACGAGTTTAACTCCCCATCCCCTCCCTCGTTAGGTGGTCAATGATGTCAGTTTCTGGTGGATGCGGAGCGGCTTTCGTTTCGGTGTGTGTTTTCTGTATTTGTTGTTGTGTCTGAATGAGTGTATGCTTGAAATGAATAAACGTTTTATATTATTAAAGTCCCGCGTTGATTTCGTCCAGATGTTTCTGCTACATTTAAAGATTGGGGAGCGTATTACTAAAATTATTTTATTTGGTCTTTTGTAAATAGTTTTGTTTTCATATTTTAATTACTCATTTGGGGCTAGTTTTTAAATTGTTATTTTATCCCCCACCCCCATAGACAATGAATTGTACATAGGGGGACGAGTTAGGATTTTCATAGAGACAATGAGGTATTATGGTGAATGTAGTAAGAAAGGTAAGACCGTGCTGTTTTGGTGTTAGGAATATTGTTTGTATATTTGGGTCAGTGTTTGTGGCTGGCTAAATTTAAAGTTAAGACAGAAGAAGACTGTCCTTTTCCCTATTCCCCCTTTTTTTTTTTTTGTGCCACATTTTCTGTATTTAAGCAAAAATTATCACTCTTCACTAGTTTAATTCCCCATCCCCTCCATCCTTAGGTGGTCAGTGATGTCAGTTCTCTGATGAATACGAGGCGTCTTTCTTTTCGAGTGTGATTTTCGTATTTGTTGTGTATGTGGGAGTGTGGGGTTGATCGAGTGCTTGGGATGAATGAATGAGTCCCGCACTGAGTTCGTTCTGCGAACTGATGTTTCTGTCACACTTAATAATTATGGGTGGTGAGTATTACTAACACTATTTTGTTTAGTTCCTTGCATATACTTTTTTTTATTTTTTGTAAATATTGATTGGTGTTTGGATTTTAAAGTCGTTATTCTATTCCCCTCCCGCCATAGAAAATGAATTTTACATAGGGAGACTAGTTAAGATTTTCATAGAGACATTGAGGTATTATGGTGATTGTATTAAGAATGGTAAGTAAGAATGCGTTGTTTTGGTGTTAGGAATATTGTGGTATATTTGGGTCAGTGTTTGTGGCTAGTTAATTTTAAAGTTAAGACAGAAGACCGTCTTTTTCCCCAATCTACCTTTCCAGACAACTTTAATCTGCGGAATTTAAATGTAATGTCACCTCATTATTCTCTTTTTTTCTGCTCACCACAAATCTTCCACTCCCTTTAACCACTTGAGTTTTAGTGGCATAACTACCTTACTTGGGGTGATTCTGATATTGCTTTAAGTATTGCTAATTAATCCAAGACTGGAGGTGGAGAAGAAATAGATTAACACATTTTAATTTGCTTAGTTTTGTTTTTACGGTATATCAACCTCAATGGGTTATGTAATGCAGACAATATAATATTTTTGGTAATATTTTTAAAAAATGCATATTTGCTAATATATATATATATATATATATATATATATATATATATATATATATATATATATAATATATTCCAAAAATGTATTGTTGGTAATATTTTTTTCCTTCAAAAATACATTGCTGGTAATATTCTTCTTCCAAAAATGGATTGCTGGAAATATTTTTTCCTTCAAAATAATATTGCTGGTAATATCGTATTGCTGATAATAATTTTTTCTCCAAAAATTTATTGCTGGTAATAATGTTTTACAAAAATGTACTGCTGGTATTAGAACGTATTTTTACACTTTCATAGTGTTTTGACCCCAGTTTGGGCGTTTACCCATAGCTTCTAGCACCCTATTTCTCTAACAGCTGCTAGCACACCGGGTCAGAGTGGACCTTGGAACACCAGTAATTAAGAGGTGGTTTCACGTTCCTCAAAACCACCTGACATGAGGTCTTGCTGTTGGATATAGTTTAACATCTTACCCAGGTCGCGGATGTAGTTTACAATCTTACCCAGGACGTCCATTCGGGGCGTAGCGGGTTACCCTTCAGCAGAGGTGCAGTTGGCGTATTCTACAGCACTAGTCGACAGAGCGGTTCATACGTTTTCTCAAGGACATTGGCATGTAAAGGAATATAATGAACCTGACTGGAATTCGAACTCGGCCCTGCGATTCCTAATTTGTCGCTTTATTCATTATACTAAGTCGAAACTTACAGCACCTGGTATTCCCAAGCAGTCCCTCTTCTAGATACTGGCCAACTTCAACGCTGCTTAACTTCGGTGATCGGACGAGTACCGGTGCTTTAATGTGATATGAGTACACAATGGCATGTTGACGTTCCGCATTATTTCATATATAAGGAAACGTCGTTCAGATACTTGACATGAGAAACCTAATTTCCTGAAACCAAAGGGGGATTTTATTAATTCCAGCCGGCTGTAGCATTGTCATGCTTGGTCAATAAATACCGAATGTTTCCTTATAAGGAAACGGTTACTATTGCCATTACCATTAGAGATGAGGTGAACAGATAGTACACTTTGATCCCAGGCCGATATTTAGTGAATGTAGAAAAGCCTGGCTCGAGCAGCATTGTCTGCTCGGTCAATGAATGCCGAATGTATCTGTAGAAGGAAACGGTTAATAGTACCATTAGCATTAGAGATGAGGAGAACAGATACTACACATTGATCCGAGGCCGGTATTAAAGGAATGGAGAAAACCCTAGCTCGAGCACCATTGCCTGGTCGGTCAATGAATACCGAGTGTGTCTTTATAAGGAAACGGCTTATTTTACCAATTCCATTAATAGCGTCTTCAAGTTCTTGGGGGTGTCGAAATATTTTCCACCATGCAAACTCTCTCTCTCTCTCTCTCTCTCTCTCTCTCACACACACACACACGCACACACACACACGGAATATGGCGAGCTTCTCACTGCTGTATCGCTACTTCCATGGAAAGTGCTCGAACGAACAACGTTTCTTCGTCCCGTCAGGTCTAACCTTCATGGCTAGGATCCTCCATGCCACTTACATTGTAGCAAATCACACACACACCCCATCGTTAAGAAATAAGTTCCACTCGAACAGCTTCTTCTTCGTGGAACCGGCTCCCAAGAGGATGTTTTCACGATCTTAACCTGTTCAAGTCTAGGGTTAACAGTCATCTTCCACTCTTATCCGTATGATCTGGCTCTTAATGTAGCCCTCTACCTCGAGTGGCTCCCGGGCCATTTACTGTAAAAAAAATACAGAAATAAATGAAGCCATGCGCGTGTCAACTCTTTACGCCAGGACATTGACCACCGAGTGTACCCTCCATGGATATTTCAAATTGGATCTTAGCCTACTCCAGATCATGGGTCTTTCCATATATATCCAACCTGTTACGTTTATACGTATGCGGTCTATCGCTTCTGTTTCCCTTCCAACATCGACAACTGTTGTCTTAAAATGTAAATCCGAATCGACATTCAGCTAGTTAGTCTCCTTCTGGCTCGGGGCCAATTTTCTTGGAACTCTATGTTTACTGGGCTACACGACAACATGGCTGCCTGCCATCTGCAGCCCCGCCCACACACGAACATCTAAACCCTGCCAGTAACCCATTATCGGATCCACTCTCCGACAGCTGATAAGACGTGGAATCACGTGATATTCTTAAAGATCGTCACTCCATTAGAAATCGGCCAGCTAAAATTGGGTATTATTTTTGCATTCACATTTCTTATTTAGAGTCGCCTCGGCAGCCCGGTTATCGTCTGCCTTTCTTCAATTCTCTGACTTCTTTAAATTTTCTCGTACATTTAGCTTCATTTGATATAAAATTTGTTTAAAATCGTCTTTCGGCAGGATGGATTTTACAATGATGTTCACTCTCTGCAAGGCCCAAGAACCACTCAAGATAGAGGGTTACAGTGTAAAAGGCGCAATTTTTGTGAATATTTTATTAATTTTTCATCAAATTCGCCCCGAGTAAGGCTGTAAAGCCGCTGAGACATAATGAGTTAGTGGGTGTCAGATAATTAGAAAGCAAAAGCATTATTAAGGAGTGAGAACAATAGAAGAGTAATCAGGACGACAGTAGATGACGATCGACATTGCATTTAAATTTTTGAAGGTCAAACTTGTCTGAAAAGAAAGAAGACGGAAGAGAGTTCAACAAGCGAGAAGTGCGAGAAAATAAACCGTTAGCAAGAATTTAGGGTTATATAGAAACTAATTCAACTGGGAATTGATGAGTTGTTGTTGTCAATCAAGTACTGCACTTAAATTCATAAAGCCTCGGTACCTTAGCGAAGAGCTCATCCATAGCACAGGGTAGCAACTTTACGGCGGGGGGGGAAGTGACTGAAACCGAGACACCAGACCAGGACCAATAAAATTGCTGATTTATCTTTGGATCTTATCAATGATCTCAAGGTAAATATCAGTCACACCAGACTATATGTGGCAGCAATACTCTAAGCAGGGACGAATGGTAGACTTATAGATATGTAAGATAGATTCAGGAGAGAAAATTTGTTTCGCACGACACAGTGGAATAACTTTCTTAGCAGCTAATCTAGCAATGGATTCAATATAGTCTTTTCACTTCATTTCAGCTGAGAACTTTAGCCCAAGAAAGCACAATATTCTAAGCATGGACGAATGGTAGACTTATAGATATGTAAGATAGATTCTGGAGAGAAAAATTGTTTCGCACGACACAGTGAACTAACTTTCTTAGCAGCTGACCTAGCAATGGATTCAATATAGTCTTTCCACTTCATGTTAGTTGAGAATGTTGGCCCGAGAAGGCTCAACGAGCAATCTTTTGGAGGTCAGCTTCAGACATGTTGAGGTTACGATTGTAAATTTTAGCGAAGCACATCCAAACAATTACAATGAAAGTATTTATAGAAAAGACACAGAGAGGTAACCTTACGGCGGTGAGAAAAAGACTGAAGCTAGGCTGCCAGATCGGAACCAAAAATACTGCTGATTCTCTGCATTTGATCAAGTATCTCATGGTAAATAGCACCGGACCATATGTAGCATCAATATTCTAATCATGGACGGATAAATATGTAAGATAGATTCTAGAGAGAAAAAATTGTCTCGCCCGACACAGTGAACTGATTTTCTTAGCAACAGACCTAGTAATGGATTCAATATAGTCTGTCCACATGTGTGCTGAAAACGTTAGCCCGAGAAGGCGGAACGAGTGACTTCCCTGGAGGTTAGCATCAGCCATGTTAATGGAAGACAGAGAGGGTTCTGTCAGATGATTAATGTAGAAAAGGCATGTAAGATAGATCCAGAAAAGAAAAATTGTCTAGCACTACACAGTAAACCAACTTTCATAGCAGCAAACCTAGAGATGAATTCAATATAATCTTTCCAATTCATGTCAGCGTAGGATGTTACTCTGAGAAGGCGCGACGTGTCTCTCTCCTGGTGGTTAGCATCAGCCATGCTGATGGGAGACAGGAAAGAGTTTTGTCAGATGATTAATAAAGAGATGTTTTTTTGATGGGGGAACTTAAAATTAAGAAGCCATCTTTTGCTCCAGTTAAGAAAAGACTGTAGGTCTTTTTTTGTTGTTTTTTAGATCAGCCGCCAGTTTGACATTATCGATCTGATCAGACTTGCTATCGAAAAAGGAGTAAATTGTTGTCATTAGGGTAGATAGCAAGTTGAGTATTGATGCCTTCAAAAAGGTGATTGATGAAAATTAATTACAAAGTAGGACCACGGATAGAGCCGTGGGAGACATCTGCATTAGTACAAAAGGATCTAGAAGAGTGGCCATTCAAGACAACTTTCATTTCCCGATTAGAGAAGAAAGACTGGATCATTTCAAAAATCCATCCGGAAACAACATAACTTTTCAACTTGTGAAAAAGACCAGTATGCCAAACTCTGTCAAACGCTTTCGAGATATCCAAAGCAACTGCCCGAGCTTCACTACTTGTGGGTAACATAACAGTTAAGCCTAGATATGAAATATTGTAGTAATCAAGGAAGCATCCTCGTGGGAGTCGGTTCCACCAAGTAAGATTTCTTGGAAAGAAACTGATCAAGCGGAACTTACATCTCATCAATGGAATACGGAGGAAATAAGGTGGTCCGCTACGATGTGCGCGGCGATGTGGATCTTGGCCGTGAAGTTTCGAACTGATAGAACAAAGATATGTAGTTCGCCTGAGCACTTTCCATGGAAATAGCGATAGAGCAGCCGAGACTTGCGACATTTCGTATGTGGGAAAGAAGCTGTGTTCATCACCGACAAGGCCGCAGAGAGGATTTTGGCCTCTGTCGAAACTAGGCAGATCCTGCCCATATAAGACAGCAGTACTTCATTTTCGGACCGATTTGCCTTTTGTAAGAGTAGAGGATAACAGGAGGAGTTAGGTACTTACTGGAGTGGTAGAGAAAGCCGACCATTTTACCTGCATCCTTAGCAACGGGCCGTATGTACGAGTTCCATATGAGTTTGGGACCCAACAGACTTTCAAAGTACGGTGCTTCCTCGAGAGGACCTCAGTTCATCCTGATTAGTGGTAGTTCGGGGTCAGATCAGCAACGATGGAACGTAACTGGCTTGGTCTTCGATGTATTGAATGTAACCAGCCTGTTTTTTCCCCATTGGGTAGTTACTGCAAGTTCAAATCTCTGACCATCGAGAGGTGCACCCGTACATCGTCGTATCATCAGTATAGATGTTTACAAATGATCGGAGTGTTACTCTTAGGCAGATCAAGGCTGGAGAGTTATGTTTGTGCAGCTACGGCCCAAATATGACAACAGTACTCCATTTTTAGAATGATCTAGCTCTTTTAAAGATAGAAGACAGCAGGAGGAGTCAGATACTTATTGGAGCGGTACAGACAGCAGCTGATCATTTTACCTGCATCCTTAGCAATGGATCGTATGTACGAGTTCCACTTGACGTCGGGTGTGAGTTTGAGGCCCAACAGTCCTTCAAGACATGTTACTTCCCTTAGAGGTCCTCCATTCAGTCAGATTGTTAGTAGTTCGGGGTCACATCGGCGATGATTGAATGCAACTAGCTTGGTCTTCGAGGCATTGAATGTAGCCAGCCAATTTTTACCTCATTTAGTAATTTGTGCAAAATCAACGGAGAGATCAGTCGCCAATCTCTGACCATTGAGAGTTTTAGAGATGCACCCTTATATAGTCGTATCATCGGCAGAGATATTTAAAAGTGGTCTCATTATATACTTAAGCAGATCATTTATGAAGATCAAAAAGAAGGTTGGTTTGAGGAGTCACTCCTGGGAGATACCTGTGTTGACATCTAAGGTTCCA